TAAGAGTCAGGCGAGAAAGCAGAGAGCAGCAAGGGCAGGGGAGAGGCCCAAGACTCAACTTGCAAGTCTGATTTGCTTTATAGGTCAAACACATCGCAGCAAAAATTTCTGATGGTCAAGGAAGAAAAAAATAACAGAACATTATCTTACAGTTCCAGGGCCTCAAAAAATGGCCTCACAGTTAACACAGACAATTGTGCATAATTCACAGTTTGACTTCATCTCTCTGAAATAACTGCTTAAGTATTTCAGAAAAGATAGAAACAGATTTCTCTCTGCACCTCCCACCTCAAGATTAACAAGATAACAGAAAAGTTGTTTCCTTTACACTGTTTAAGGTTCACAGTTCCTAGCAGCAAAGTCTGTTTCTTCTCTAGGCAACCCCTCACCAAAAAATGAGGGGGCAGAACTGGGAGCTGAAATTGAGCACATACTAAATCATAGCTAAATGTTTATTTCTCCAGAGAACTTGCAATTGCTATAAATGTATCACCATACAGAACAGCTCTTCAGAAAGCAGAAAATTGAAAAAAGGCAGAATTTGGGACAAGGCCCCAAAGAATGAAAAACTAACACTGTGTCAAAATGCATATAACAAAAAAATACCTGCAGGTCCAAATTCTGTCTCCAGTCTTCCTTTCTCTTGCTGCCTTTTAAAAGATGGGGGAATAGGGAGCAACACATGCAAACTTTATCTTAATTATCTTTAATTATTGTATTCATATGTTAGCAGCCTCCTATCACTTGCTTTACAATGTAATCTTGAAGAGAAGTGCCTCTGCTTTTGCTTGACCTCTTGGCAATAGGTTAAAAAAATCCCTATAACCTAACAATGGTGCTAGACACTCCAGCTCCTTCAAGCACAGCAAATGTTACACTCAGAATATCACTGTCTCAGACAGCTATCCCTTTAAAGGGTGGAGCAATAAATTCTTTACCATATCAGTGAGAGGTCATAAAAAATAAAAAAAGGTTGCTCAGTCTACTGGTCCTTCATATCAGTTACAGGGGCTGTGATCTGCCAGGTTCCTCAACCCATAATCCATGACTGCTGACAAGCTCAGGGTGTTTTTTTGCTTCTATCTTAACAGCAACATCATTCAAAAAAACTGCCTTCTTGACTCGCTGTCATCATGAGCACAATCGAACACTCCTGAAATTTGATTTTTTTTTCAAGAGGTAAGAGATGCTGATGCAATTCTATCATCAAAAGAAAATGAAACCCTACGACTTTGTGGTCAGTGATCAAGGACTGGAAGAAGAAAGAATTTAAACAGGCTTAGCAAGTCGCCTATGATCTTGGCATCTACAAGGACCGGAAGAGCACTTAAAAACATAGATGCACAGGATCAAGAACCACATAATCTAAAAAGAACATAACTGGACAGTAGCAGAAAATAGCTTTCCCACTAATTTCCAGCAATTTGATTCTCTCTGAAAAGGGTGCCTACCAAGCATTTAAAAGCAGCCTTCCTGAGGAATCAAAATCTGTTTCACCACTTGCTCACATGGTCTCTATATTTCATACCAACACAGACAAATCCTTCCAGCTGGGGATAGGCCACCACACAGAAGACAGAGATACACTGTACTGAAGAGATTTTTCAGCTGAAAAGGAAGAAAGGTCAAAGGACTCATATCACATAAGTGGCCGAAGTGCTTCTAAAACAGAAGGTGCCAAAGCAGGGGCCTTGCAGTGTTTAAAAAGTTCTCACTTATCACAGAAGTTTTAACAGAAACTATATTCGGCCTTGAGGGTTTGAAAAAAAAAAGAAAGCAGGCAAGACACAGCTCAGTGGAGGCAGCACATAGCAAAATAAGAGATATTCATCACAATGAAAGAAGTTTCATGACACCTTCACAGCAATTTGCTACTCATAGCCACTCAGCAGTGACCTCATTGAGGAATCCTACTGTTTACATACCAATGCTAAGCAATCTTTTCGGTATCACGTCTTAGTTCTATGTTAAAAAAGAAAATTTCTCAGGTTACACAGGAAAAGCCTGTAGCCACCACACCGACTTTAAAGACATTTTAAAGTGTAACTGCCACAGGCACATTTGACAGCTCTCCACGTTTTAAGAAATGCCTTAGCTATGTATCTGAGTTGCGAGCAGCCCTGACGCTACACAAAAAGAAAAAAGAAAAAAAAAAAAAACCAAAACCAAAAACAAACCAGAAAAACCCATTTGTTTATATTTGGACCATTCTTAAGTTTTAAACGAAAAAAGACATTGTGAATCTCTATTAGATACGCTGAAACAATTTTAATATTATTGTAGCTTTACCTTAACAGCTACATTTTTCTAAAGTGCCCTGGGTGAAGTGCATCTTGGATAACAATCCCATAGCACACAGAATAGTCTCTGAAGAGGTTTCCGGCGGGGGAGAGTGGTGGAGAGTTAGTTAGGCAGTTACGTAGAAACCACTGCTAAAGTATATATAAGATCAGTCAGTATTTGCTCTCAGGTCCTCAGTTCAGTTTTGCTCAAGTCACCACTACCCTGTCTGCCTGAAAATAAAATCATGGTCACCTGCTAAAGTGGTAGAAAGCCAAAGCTCACCCAGCTGTTTAAAATCCTGAACGAAAATTATTTATGAACCCATTTGATGCTACCGTAAGAGAGGTGAAAAAAAAAATGAGAATCACACCCCGAGTTAGAGTATAATGACAAAAATGGGCATTGGCAAAATCTTTGAAAATAAACCAAAACATATTCATAGGTAAGCAGCCTGCTCCAGCTTAAACATACCAGAATAGGAATCACAGGCCTGCAAGGTAAAAGGGGCTGGTAGTCCCCTTTCCCCTCCAATGAGTTGGCAGGGGGAGGAACACTTTCATGTGACCCTATATCCATCTGAGCAAACATTCAGTTTAGGTTGAACAGGTTCTCACACGTGTGGAAAGCCTTATCTATTCAAAACACAGACAAACCTGTTTAGGTACATCTGTATGAATGTTAAACAAGCAACCTGGGAGGCTAAACCAGTTTTCAGGAGCAGCCAGCTTCTCTGGCATAATGGGAAAAGGCTGGCCATCCGAGATACGCATAAAATGCTATTAAGACAGCTCTCCTCTCCCATCTAAATGAACGGTTTCCCAAGAATCATTATGGGATTTGAGAGAAGGCCAGACAAAAAAAAAAAAAAAAAAAAAAAAAAAAAAAAAAAAAAGCCATCTTGTTTATAAACACTCAGTTTCATTGAGGAACAAAAAACTTCATTGCCTCTTTTGCAATTTTCATGTATCCTGGAATAAACTGAAATCACCTCTCTGAAATCGTCTTTTTTTTTTTATTGAGTCTGTTTCAAAGCCACATTCACATAAAAAATGATGAAACTGTAAAAATAACCCATAACTTCACACATTCATCTCAGAATCATGTTGACCAAATCTAAAGCTGTTCAAGAGGATCTACTGTTTCTGCTGACCACAAAAAGATAAGGCTAGTTTCTTCATTAGCTCAGTATCTGAGGGGCTGCAAAGTTGAGAATTGTAAAGGGACCTGTGTGGACCATTACTACAGAGAGGACCAGACCCCACTGGATAGGTACAGCTTTAGGACTGCAGATTATAAAGACTGAGCCTCTCACTCAGCCTTTCTTTGCCGGTATTGACACACATCGAATTCCTCATGTTGGGACTTCCCAACTTCTGAAAGAGAAAGCATGGAAAACCAAAAGCAAGACAAGTGGCCAACCATAACAAAGATGCTAAAATTGGCAGGAATATGAAGGAAAGAGAAACTCAGTTACTTATTCCAGACTTGTATGAAGCACTGGGGCACATTCTTCCCCAAAACCTCGCCTTCTGTAATGTCCAGGCCACTTGCTCACCTCTAACAATTAGTGAATTTTCCTTGCTCATCCTTTTTGAGAAAGGTTTCACAGAGAAACCTAACCTGTCATTCCCCAGGAACTTACTCATCACCATCTGAGCTTCAGTCAGCTCTGGTCTCTCATACACCAGATACCTGAAAATCTCTGTTTCTCTTCAACAGTCAACTGTACTGCAGAGTTTCATAAACGAGTACTTCCTTGGCATTTTTTTTTATAGAGGGGGGAAAAAAAACTCCAAACCTGCCACAAAACCAAACCCGGGGTTAGAGACAACTAACCACCAAATCAGCTGCTACAGAAATACAAAGTTTTGCGGCTATGTTACAGTCCCTGCTCAGGTTACAGAGTAACTGCAAACCCAGCTAAACGTCCATTATATTTTGGCTGCTCTTGGAGTGACAGTGTAACCTGAAGACGTTTTTGGACAAATCTCCAAACATTAAAATGAGATAAAGTAATTCTTAGCATAAAATCATAGAATCGTAGAATGGTTTGGGTTGGAAGGGGGCACTGAAGATAATCTTGTTCCAACTCCCCTGCCGTGGGCAGAGACATCTTTCATTTAGACCAGGTTGCTCAGCGTCCCATCCAAGATGGCCTTGAAGACCTCCAGGGACGGATATATCAACCGATTAGGTTTATACTGTATCATCCTCGACTTCGCCGGTGGAATTTTGTCTCTCGAGACTCAAGCGCTGCTTAAATACAGAGAAAAACAAGCAGGCGGAAATACAAGTTTCTGGTCAGAAACGGGGCCGAGAGCGGCGGGCGGGCCAGAACAGCGGGGCAGTGACACACGGACGGCACAGCGGGGACAGGACCGGGGACAGGACCAAAGCCAGGGCCCGCAGCTGACCCGCACAGCCCGGGCGCTCCGGGGGCGCTCCCTCGGCCGCGCCGGCCCCGGCCTTTTGTTCGCCCGCCGCGGGGGCAGCGCTCGGGCGGAGCAAGGCCTCGCCGCGGGCACCCCCGGAGCGACAAGACAGGGCACGGACAAGGCGAGGCCGGTCCCCCGGGGCCCCGCAGAGCCCGGCTCGGGGCGGGCTCCGGGGCGCGGCGCCTCTCCCGCCGCAGCGGGGCGGCGGGGGGGCGGGAGGCGCCCGGCGCCGCGTCCCTGCGGCAGGGCCCAGCGCAGCGCGGGCGGGAGCGCGGCACTCACCCAGGTGAGGAGGCTCTCGCCCAGCTCGGCGCGCTCCAGGCTCTCCACGTTGAACATGGCGGGGCTGCGGGGCCGCGGCCGGGTCGGTACCGCCGCTCCCGCCCCGCCCCGTCCCGGGCCGGGCGGTGGCGCCCACACGTCACCGCGCCCTGACGGGGCCCGGCCGCGCGCCTGCGCACGGCGGCCGCGGGGCGGGGCGGGGTCGCGGCGCGACCCGGCGGCGAGCGGGGCGGGGCCGGGCCGGGCCGGCGGCGAGCGGAGCTGAGGTACCGCGGGGGACTGCGGGGCCCGCCGGCCGCCCCCTGCGCCCGGCCAGGGCACCGGCGGGACGGAGAGGGGGGCGCGGCCCGCTCCCCTCCGCTGCGGGCCCGCCGCGGCACCTCCTGCGCCGCCAGCAGCGCTGCGGGAGGAGAGCTCGGCGCCCTTCCCTCCCCCCGGCTGTGTGTGTGCCCTCGGCTGCGGGCGCGGAGGAGCTGGTTGGGACAGGGTCCGGCGGGGCTGGGAGCGTGGGCTTGTGAGGGTGCTGCACCCACAGCGTCCTCCTGTGAGCGTGCTGTGGCTTGGCGTGTGGGTGGAGCGGCCCCTACGAGGTTTTATTCTCTTTCTGGAGCAGGAAATGACCCTGCACCCACGGAGGTTCTCCTGTTAGTGAAAGGGGCAGCCTCTGCAAGGTTTTCCTCTCTTCTTGTAGTCGAAAACAGCTTTGCACCCACAGACATCAGACATTCTTCTTTTAGTATCTAGTGTGGCTTGGTTCGAGGAAGGAGTGGCCTCTACGAGGTTTTCCTCTCTTTTTTGGAGTAGATGTTGACTTACTTTCAACAGAACTTGGCTCTAGTAAAAATTAAAGAAGAGAAAAGCTTCCAGTATCTGAAGGGAGCCTACGGGGAAGCTGGAAAGGGACTCTTCATCAGGAGCGGTAGTGATAGGGCAAGCAGTAATGGGTACAAACTGAAAGAGGGGAAGTTTAGGTAAGATATCAGGAAGAAATATTTTGTCGTAAGTGTGGTGAGACAGTGGAACCGATTGCCCAAGGAGGTTGTGGGTGTCCCAACCCTGGGGGTGTTCAAGGCCAGGTTGGATAAGGCCTTGAGCAACCTGGTCTAGTGAGAGGTGTCCCTGTTCATGACAGAGAGGGTTGGGACTAGGTCGTCTTTAAAGTCCCTTCCAACCCTTAACATTCTAATATTCTATACTTAGCACTAGCTCCAAATGGTGACTAGGAAGAATTTCTTCACAGAAAGAGTGATTAGACATTGGAATGGGCTGCCCAGGGAGATGGTGGTGTCACCGTCCCTGGAGGTGTTTAAGGAAAGACTGGACATGGCACTCAGTGCCACGGTCTGGTTGACACGGTGGAGTTTGGTCATAGGTTGGGCTTGATGATCTCAGAGGTCTCTTCTGACCTAATTGATTATGTGTGATTCTTCAGGTAATTCAGTTAATTTTTAATCTCAAAGACAAGGAGTCTGTCTGTGGCCAGAGAGCTCCTGCTTCCTCACTATGCCCTGGCCAGAGGAGCTCTCCAGCATGCCATGAAGGGGTCACCTGAAGAGTTTGAGAAACTCTTTCTTGGTAGTCAGTTAAATTCTGGCCCATCTGAAGTTTGCAATGACAATGTGTGACATCATGATAAGTTCTGCAGTTCCCTATCAGTTAACAGCTGGCCTGACATGCAACAGCATGGAGTACCAGGCACAGTGCACTGATAACAGCTGAGAATTGGATAAACAGCCAAGAAAAAAAGGGTTGCAAATGTAGAAGCTGCCGCTTTTTCCTCTGTTTCTCAGAGTTCTTCCATTAAATAAATTAGTAGCGTGGACAAAATCTGAGTGCTCCCTTTTTGTCAGCCTATTTTGAACTAAAATGTATTGTAGAAGCCATGAAAACTTTCAAGTCTTCCCACTAAAGTACCATCTGACTGATCTCATTGTATAACATGCCGTTTAAGTTATAAATCCAATCTACATTTAAAGGTAGCTTTCACATTTGGGAATGAGTTTTAAAGTCTTAGAAAGCTGCACAACTATAACGTTCCATTATAAGTTTTAATGTGTGCTTTGAGCAATATGCTTGGTACTTTTGACAAACAGTGATTAACACAGGTATTTTTCATTAAGGTTTTCTGCCATATCTTCCTTTAGATCCCGTTTCCCACTGCTTTGCTTGTTGCCATGAGGTGTAGCTTGTATTTTGTTGACACAATCAAATACAGTAATTTTTTTTTGTCTTGATGCCTATTTTACATATGAGGTTGTATATGCCAGTGTTGCTTTCTATGATAAGGAATTCTTGGGCACTTTTCCTGGAAGAGATTTGAAGCCTCTACATTCTTAGCTGAAGCGTTACCGTATTTCAGTAAACATTATTATAGTTAAGTGACAATATTTTCTTCTTCTTCCTGCCTGATCAGGGAAGTCAGATATCCAAAATGAAGGCGTTGTCAGGCTCTTCCTCATGCTCCTATCTGCATATGGATTCAGGTCCACCCTCTGGTTTGTTTACAACTCTATACCTTTTGGTATGTTTTAGCCTTAAAAAGCAGTGCAAGACTTTGTTGGGAGTCATTTTAACAGGTCGTGCATCACCCAGACAGATACTCAAAGTAGTAACGCTATACAGGCCATTGAATTTGTCGTTTTTGCTTCAAGCCATCCATGTGGTTTCAAGCTCACGAGAAAAATATTTAGAGACTTTTTGTTTTCTCAATAGAATTTCCCTTACTGCATTGCATCTGGAATTCGTGTCTACATTATTTTTAACTTGCAAAGCATGATTCCATCAGCAAAATAAAATATTTCTTTTTTTCTTCTTTCTTCTTTTCTCTTCAGGAAAAAATGTGCCTCAGAGACTGCTGACCTCAGACCTTGCAGAAACCTGCTTTACCAGGCAAGTGCCTCAGTTGGTCAGTTCTTAAGGTAGACTGAACAAAACCATTATTTGCCTTCTGAAATTGCTCTTACCCTCTTTTGGCAAGACTCTTTAGGCTTTTTCCTTTCTCTTTTGCAAAGAGCATGCATGCACATGAATGTACAGTCCTGAAAGCAAAGATGGTTCACGGTGAAGATGTAACTGAATATTATATACAGCTGAGTGTGGCTGTAATTTCATTGTACCAGTTGAGCTAATTTGTAACTCTTAACAATCATGCATTAACATACTACATGAAACCCTAGTAGGATGATCCCAAGTCAGTTTTAGCAATTTTCTCACAGAATGTATCTTCTGTTATATGTTGCTATATTTGATTTTTTTTTTTTTAATTTCACTTAGTAAATGTGTCCTTTAGATTTCTCCTCCTGATTTTTAAACTGTATGGAGATACTTAATATTAGAGATTGTTGTGTATGCTTTATTCAAGTAAGACTGTGCTCACAAAAATGAAAAGCTAATAAATTCTCTTTCCTTAGAACCGTTTCTTTGGAGTACACAATCCATCATTTCCATTGTTTCTGGTTTAGAGTGCTATATTTGCTTACATCACTATTTTGAAGTCCAACTTCAGTACACTGAAGAACCTGTATAAAATGTATCATCTCAGGATTTAGGCCAGTAAACTGATCTAGGATTTGGGCCAGTAAACTCATAGAGTCTTCAATACTTTTACTGTTAATCATGCTTATTTCATACCTGCTGTTGTTAACTCTTTCTGAATGCAGTCTGGGCGTGTCTTTGAGCTCTTATAGAAAGAGAGCATAAATAACTGTAAGATCCAGTTTGCTGGGTCAAATCCATTCACAGAGTCCTGTTCTCAACCACACGCAGTGGCCGTGACCTGTTACTAACCTGAAGCAGAAAGTAATTGGATAACATCTGATGGGAGAGATCTCAATTATTGCCCTACAGATAAGAATTTGCCTTTATTGTGGGAACTTTTGTCTATTTTTCCCTGAAATGAAATATGCTAAATTTATGCCTTAGATATTTCAATATAAGCTAATATGTGTTCAGGAGGCGGATTACAGAACATGCTCTGTTTTAGTATGTTTAAATTCTTCGAAGTTGATTCGTGTTATCTAAAACAGGCCAATCTTATTAGAAACATGTTGATACAAATTAAGCCAATTTTTAATTTATTTGTTTCTCATACCATGGAAGAAAATTTTGAGGATTTAAAGCCTTTTTGTTCTTGAGAAAGCGTGACTCACAATGTTTTACTAGTTGGAGATGAATTATCTTCTCCTGGAAAACACATGATCTCTACAAATTAAGCAGCATTTTTAAGGGGCAGAGATGATGTTTTTGCTAATAAAAGACAACAAAATGGCAAAAGGAATTGCAAGTTCTTATTTGCACACTAGCCCACCTTCACTGCCTTAACTTCATAATTTTTTCAAGTACTGATGGTGGCTGCCAGTACTGCATCAAGAGGAAGACACTCAAAATAAAACTGAAATAAGTGAAAAAAACCCAAATCCCATTGTTCCATCCCGTTCACTCCCAGCCTGTCCCCAAAAGGACATATTGTTATAGAGGTTACTTTTCTGATTTTGAGCAAATTGTACCAAACCCTCAAAGCCAATACAGTACAGTTAATAACGTGTAGGTTAATAAAGTTAATGACTTGTATCTCACAGCAGTATTCCTTGTGTGTTACCTCACTGTTAATTTCTCAGACATCAAGAGAGCATCTTATTTCTTTTTCACTACACTTGCACATTCCTTTGGTAGTGGGTTCTAAAACTCTCCATGGTTTTGAGAGTATATTAGCATATGGTACTTCCCTGATAAACTTGGAAAAGTTCAAATCCTTCAGAAAACTCTGGGAATACTGTCACTTTGGATAGCTGACAACAGGTATTTAGCATATCATGGTAAACACTGTATGGTTTTAATTTCTTTATGAGCCGTAGCATGGGATATCGTATCTGTGCTGTCTGTTGAACATTGAAAATTTTAATAATACTTTTCAAATCTGTAAAATTAAGAACTGATACATCCACAGTAGTGCATTTCCTCATGCTCTGACATTTCCATGGGATCTGTATGGGTTTCCAAGAATGAAAGACGTCGTACTTGCGGTATTGCTTACAATGGCTCTCCTTTTCTTGCTTAAACCTGCATGCACTGTTCATACATAACCACAGAGGGGAAAAATGTAACTTTTGAAAGGTACGTAGATTCT